AAAAAAAAAAAAAAAAAAAAAAAAAAAACTCTCTTTATAGCTTGCAAACTCCAGAGGAGACCACAGTTGTCTTGTTCATTGCCATAATCCCCTACACTAGCGCAATATTTGACACATGGTAGCTGTTTAGTAAATAAATACTTATTGGATGAATGGAGATGGGAATTATTGTTTCTGCAGGAGTTGTGAGACAGTGCAAATATCTAGGAAGTGATAGTTAAGCCAAAAAAAATAATAAAATAGGAGAGGCTACAGAGATCTTTGCAGGAGAGACCAGACTGCTTTGGAATTTGTAGATAACCATTCACAATGTTTAACTTTCTAGACAAAGTGGTGAAGAAAGGAAAGAAGGACAAGAAGATCAAAAAAACGGTGAGAAAATGAGGGTTGAGGATAAGAAATGAATATGGGTCTTTCCCAGCTAAATAGCCAGGCAAAAAAGGTGGGAGGACTGAGAGAGGAGAAGAGATCTTGTCAAGAGAGAGGCTGGGCACGGTGGCTCACGCCTGTAATCCCAGTATTAGGAAGGCAGAGGTGGGAGGAAAGCTTAAGCCCAGGAGTTTGAGACCTGCACACTCTGTTCTCCACAAAAAGAAAAAAAAAGAAAGACAGATCAGGTGAGGGTGGAGTGGAGGGCCAGTGGGCCCGTGTATGGCAGAGCAGAGCTTGATTGGATTGATCTTGGAACCATGTTTACCTGTATCTTAACTCCCTTTGTAGTTCTTCGAAGAGCTAGCAGTAGAAGATAAACAGGCTGGGGAAGAAGAGAAAGTCCTCAAGGAGAAGGAGCAGCAGCAGCAGCAGCAACAGCAACAGCAGGTACAAGTGCCACAGGGCCACCAATCCTGGGAGGCACCTGGGCTCCACCAACCCCTTTCCAGCCCATGTTGCTCCACTCAGCTGATGGGGAACCCTCTCTGTGAGGCAGAAATCTCGGCTTCATTTTCTCACTCTCTTTTGCTTTGCTCTCAGCAGCAAAAAAAGAAGCGAGATACCAGAAAAGGCAGGCGAAAGAAGGATGTGGATGAAGATGGAGAAGAGAAAGAGCTCATGGAGCGTCTCAAGAAGCTCTCAGTGCCAGCCAGTGATGAGGAGGATGAGGGTAAATGACCTGAAGGGGAATGGCTACCCAGAATCCATGAGTCATGATGCCTCATACCTTGATCTTCGAGTTAGATTAAATTGGGGTGCCAGACATCGTAATTCTTTGCTATCTCATGTTCTCCCCTTGTCATTTCAGTACCTGCCCCAAAACCCCGCGGCGGGAAGAAAACCAAGGGTGGTAATGTTTTTGCAGCCCTGATTCAAGATCAGAGTGAGGAAGAGGAGGAGGAAGAAAAACATCCTAAGCCTGCCAAGCCAGAGAAGAATCGGATCAATAAGGTGATAGTGGTGTCTCTATTAGTCACGCTCACTCCATTTAGCACCTTCTGGCCATGGTGGAGTAATTTTCTCCTTCTAAACTGGCTCCTCTTGGTCTGTCTTCCTTATACTGTCAAAATCATCTTTTTAAAATACACACCCAGGAGTGGGTGTGGTGGCTCACACCTGTAATCCCAGCACTTTGGGAGGCCTAGGCAGGTGGGTCACCTGAGGTCAGGATTGAGACCAGCCTGAACAACATGGTGAAACCTCGTTTCTACTAAAAATATAAAAATTACCCAGGCGTGGTGGCACATGCCTGTAATCCCAGCTACTTGGGGCGCTGAGACAGGAGAATTTTCGAGCCTGGGAGGTGGAATTTGCAGTGAGCTGAGACCGAGCCACTGCCCTTCAACCTGGGTGACAGAGCAAGACTCTTGTCTCAAAAAAAATAAATAAATAAAATACATGCCCTTTTTATCACTCAGAAATCTATACTGATTCTACTGCTTCAAGCACAGACCCTGAAACAAAAGCCCTCAGGTCCTCGCTCTTCTACTTGTGACTGTTCTGGGTGTGCATCTTAGTCTGTGTCCATTTGCCCTCTGGAGAAAGCCTCCAGTGCTAGTGCCACACGCTCTGGCTGCCCCCTTGCCTGACTCACAGTCCTTAGCCTTGCAGATGTTCCCTAGTTATCTCTTCACTATCTAGTCTCAAGCTGTAGTGTAGGGTTTTTCTGGGTCTCGTTTTTCAGCAGCAACACTCAATACAGATGGTCTCTGACTTATGCTTCATCATGTGATTTTTCTGCTTTATGATGGTGTGAAAGTCATACTCATTTAGTACACTCCGAAACTCATGATGGGATTATGTCAGATAAACCCATCATAAGTTGGAACTATTATTTTCGACTTAATGATATTTTCAGTTTATGATAGGTTTATTGGGATGCAACCCTACCGTAAGTGGAAGAGCATCTGTGTGATTAACACAGTAGACTCTAGAAATGCTTATTATACAGCAAAGTAGCACAGTAATTTATATGTATGTGTTTAATATGTACGTGTGTCTCCTCCAGGCCGTATCTGAGGAACAGCAGCCTGCGCTCAAGGGCAAGAAGGGAAAGGAAGAGAAGTCAAAGGGGAAGGCTAAGCCTCAAAATAAATTCGCTGCTCTGGACAATGAAGAGGAGGATGAAGAAGAAGAAATAATAAAGGAAAAGGAGCCTCCCAAACAAGGGAAGGAGAAGGCCAAGAAGGCAGAGCAGGTGTGCATTTGGTGTTGGGGGAAGGTGGAGTGAGGGACTGGGGCTCCATGATCCTTACAGGAGAGTCAGGATCTGGGGATATAGTTACTATACCAGCAAACTTTTTCTCTTTTTTGTTTTTTGTTTTGGGGGGTGGGGGGGCAGTGGTGATGGGTGGTTGTTATTTGGAGATTTTTTACTCAGGATCTTACTCTGTCACCCAGACTAGAGTGCACTTGGGTGAACACGGCTCACTAAAGCCTCAGCCTCCTGGGCTCAACAGATTCTCCCGCCTCAGCCTCCTGAGTAACTGGGACTAGAAACATGCACCACTACCCCTGGCTAATTTTTTTATTTTTTTATTTATTTTATTTTTTTTTTTTTTTTT